GGTATCTTTCTTTGCCTTTAGACAACAATTCTGATGGCAAAAGAGCCAAACGGGACAGGCCAAAAAAAAATAAAAAAATAAAAAATACAAGGTGTAGTGGCAAACAAGCAGTGGGGCATGACAAATAACTGAAAACACCTAAACTGGGAGAACTAAAATAACAGACCTGGGAGCATACGACAAAGGGATGAGAGGCAGAGAGGCAGAGAACGAGCAGGACACCGAGTAACACAGACTGACACCGAGTAACACAGACGGCAGGAGAACACACAGGGCTTAAATACACACACACCAGTAATCAGGGGATGAGAGACAGGAGGGCAACACAGCTGGGAGAAATCAGAGCTGACGGGACAGGGGAAATGTAAACAGAACACACTCACATCAGACAGAGACCTTCACAATAAAACAGGAAACTCAGACACGGGGAACCAAACAAGACACAGATCTAAAGAGACAGCTTCACAAACAGATGGGGTGACACCATAGACAGACAGAGATACAGACGCAGACTCAAAGGAAGACCGAATATAATACATAGAACTCAAACAATAATAATCATCATCATAATAAACTAGAAAATGATGATAAACTAAAAGCGCTGGGTCACCGACCCAGGACCATGACAGAAGCAGAGTTGGGTGACTTTGATACTATATATTGATATCCAGGGAATAATGGCGTTAAAAGTAACGCTGTTACTAACGCCATTACTTTTTCTGTAATTAGTAATCTAATGAATTACTATTTCTATCATTACAATGCCGTTACAGTTACTAACAAGAAAATGCGCTGTTGATGTATGACTATTTTTCAACACACAGACACAATCATTTGCAAAAAAAAAGAAAGAAAGAAAGAAAGAGACTTACCAGCACCGGGTTGCCAAATTATTGCTCTACTACCCCTCCTTTGCAATTTATAGAAGCGAAATTTTCTGAAACTGGGTCCCCTGCATCTATCCATCTTTCACAAATGTAACAGTGGACATTCCTGGCAGTGTATCCAGTCTTTATCTCTATATCAGTTATTTGCAAACACAGCAGTAAACACTCCTCACACCAGCATGCCAGTTTCTCCGTTTTGTTCAGTCTCTCGCAAGATGTTGCAACAAACCCTTTCGGCACTGGGACGCCAGTTTCTCTGCCATCTTTGCCAACTGTTTAATTTTTTAACACTAGAGCAGGGGTAGGGAACTCCAAATTCAGCCCTTCAAATGGCTAAGTTATCTCTTCAACATGTCTTGAAGTTCTCCAGAAGCCTGGTAGTGAACTAATCATTTGATACAGGTGTGTTGACCGAGGGTGATATCTAAAACCTGCAGGACACTGGCTCACGAGGCCTGGAGTTCTCTACCCTAGCACTAGAGGGTACCATGTAAGTATTAATAATTAAATACAAAATTAAAATAATAATAATAATAAATACTGAGCTAGTCGTTATTCTATTATTGCTTCAGTGTTCGGTTTTTAATCCTTGTGCCCTTTGCACACCTTCATGTACAAAAATGCACATCTGCCACGAAATTCTCATATAATAAATATCTTTGCTTTTTTCCATAGATGCTCAACTTAAGTCCTTTTCCAAATGATCAAACATTAAATTATTTTCAGGATTTTAACCCTTGAAATGCCAGTTTAATGGAGCCGTGTCAGTACCAGGGAGCCTCCAAGAGTGATTTGTATGAATTTGTTTTTTGTTTTTTTGTTTTGTTTTGTTTTTTTTGTTTTTTTGTTTTTTTTGTGTCCCGTTTAGATCTTTAGCCATCAGAATTGTTGTCTTAAGGCCAAGAAAGATGCCAAGCGGATTTATTTTACCAAGTGGATCATCATGGCCTTGCCATATTGGTCCATTTGATTGACCTTTATTATAATTATGAATTTATTTTATTTTCAGTTGCTACAAAC